AGGTCAAGTTGGAATTTTGGTGGCGTCATTTTAACCGTTATAGAGTTATGCCCCTTTACAAAGGAAAAAAATGCTGAATTTTTCGTTTCCGTTCTCTAACTTTAGTTCGCCTCAACCAAATGTTATGAAACTTATACACAATGCTTATTGCCACAAAACACAGATAAAGTTTGAATTTTGGTGTCGTCACTTTAATCGTCCTAGAGTTGTGCCCCTTTACAAATGGAAATATTGCTGAATTTTTCGTTTCCGTTCCCTTACTTTAGTTTGCCTCAACCAAATGTTATGAAACTTAAACTCAATGCTTATTACCACAAAATACAGATCAAGTTGGAATTTTGGTGGTGTCACGTTAACCGTTCTAGAGTTATGCTCCTTTACAAATTGAAAAATAGCTGATTTTTTTCGTTTTTGTTCTATAACTTAGGTTAGCTTCAACCAAATGTTATGAAACTTATACACAATGCTTATTACCACAAAATACATATCAAGTTTGAATTTTGGTGGTGTCACTTTTACTGTTCTAGAGTTATGCCCTTTACAAATGGAAAAAAAATGCTGAATTTTTCGTTATCGTTCTCTAACTGAAGTTTGCCTCAACCAAATATTATGAAACTTATACACAATATTTATTACCACAAAACTCAGATCAAGTACAAATTTAGGTAGCGTCACTTTTACCGTTCTTCAGTTATGTCCCTTTATAACTTTTTAGCTCACCTGACCTGAAAGGTCAAGTGAGCTTTTCTCATCACTTGGCGTCCGTCGTCCGTCGTCCTGCGTCCGTCGTCCGTCGTCCGTAAACTTTTACAAAAATCTTCTCCTCTGAAACTACTGGGCCAAATTTGACCAAACTTGGCCACAATCATCATTGGGGTACCTAGTTTAAAAAATGTGTCCGGTGACCCGGCCAACCAACCAAGATGGCCGCCATGGCTAAAAATAGAACATAGGGGTAAAATGTAGATTATGGCTTATATCTCTGAAACCAAAGCATTTAGAGCAAATCTGACATGGGGTAAAATTGTTTATCAGGTCAAGATCTATCTGCCCTGAAATTTTCAGATGAATCGGACAACCCGTTGTTGGGTTGCTGCCCCTGAATTGGTAATTTTAAGGAAATTTTGCCGTTTTTGGTTATTATCTTGAACATTATTATAGATAGAGATAAACTGTAAACAGCAATAATGTTCAGCAAAGTAAGATCTACAAATAAGTCAACTTGACCAAAATGGTCATTTGACCCCTTAAGGAGTTATTGCCCTTTATAGTCAATTTTTAACCATTTTTCGTAAATTTTTGTAATCTTTTACAAAAATCTTCTCCTCTGAAACTACTAAGACAAATTTAACCAAACTTGTCCACAATCATCATTAGGGTATCTAGTTTAAAAAATGTGTCCGATGACCCCGCCCGCGAACCAAGATGGCCGACATGGCTAAAAAATAGTACATAGGGTAAAATGCAGTTTTTGGCTCATATCTCTGAAACCAAAGCATTAAGAGCAAATCTGATGAGGATAAAATTGTTCATTAGGTCAAGATCTATCTGCCCTGAAATTTTCAGACCAATCAGGCAATCCGTTGTTGGGTTGCTGCCCCTGAATTGGTAATTTTAAGGAAATTTTGCAGTTTTTGGTTATTAACTTGAACATTATTATAGATAGAGATAAACTGTAAACAGCAATAATGTTCAGCAAAGTAAGATCTACAAATAAGTCAACTTGACCAAAATGGTCATTTGACCCCTTAAGGAGTTATTGCCCTTTATAGTCAATTTTTAACCATTTTTCGTAATTTTTTGTAATTTTTTACAAAAATCTTCTCTGAAACTACTAAGACAAATTTAACCAAACTTGTCCACAATCATCATTAAGGTATCTAGTTTTAAAAATGTGTCCGATGACCCCGCCCGCGAACCAAGATGGCCGACATGGCTAAAAAATAGTACATAGGGTAAAATGCAGTTTTTGGCTCATATCTCTGAAACCAAAGCATTAAGAGCAAATCTGATGAGGATAAAATTGTTCATTAGGTCAGTATCTATCTGCCCTGAAATTTTCAGACCAATCAGGCAACCCGTTGTTGGGTTGCTGCCCCTGAATTGGTAATTTTAAGAAAATTTTGCAGCTTTTGGTTTTTATCTTGAATATTGTTATAGATAGAGATAAACTGTTAACAGCAATAATGTACAGCAAAGTTAGATCTACAAATAAGGCAACATGACCAAAATTGTCAATTGACCCCTTAAGGAGTTATTGCCCTTTATAGTCAATTTTTTACAATTTTCATAAATTTTGTAAATTTTTGTAAATTTTTACAAAGTATTTTCCACTGTAACTACCGGGCCAAGTTCATTATAGATAGAAATAATAGTAAGGAGCAAGAATGTTCAGTAAAGTAAGATCTACAAACACATCACCATCACCAAAACACAATTTTGTCATGAATCCATCTGTGTCCTTTGTTTAATATGCACATAGACCAAGGTGAGCGACACAGGCTCTTTAGAGCCTCTAGTTTGATATGCAAGCGGGGGCATCATCTGTGTCCTATGGACACATTCCCCATTTTTTTCCTCTCTTAGTTACGATTAACTTGGATATGAAGTAAATGTATTTTTTTAATTTTAAAATGTAAGTTTTTTTCCGTATTCTTTTCTTATGCAATTTTATTATTATGTGACTTTTTATGCCCCCGCCGTAGCCGTTTTACCCTTGTCCGTCTGTACGTCCTTTCGTACGTACGTCCCAAAATTGGTTTCCGTTCTCTAACTTTAGTTTGCCAAAACCCAATGTTATGAAACTTATCCACAATGTTTATTACCACAAAACACAGATCAAGTTTGAATTTTGGTGGCATCACTTTTACCGTTCTAGAGTTATGCCATTTACAAATGAAAAACTTGCTTATTTTTTTGTTTTCGTTCTCTAACTTGAGTTTGCCTCAACTAAATGTTATGAAACTTATCCACAATGTTTATTACCACAAAACACCGATCAAATTTGAATTTTAGTGGTGTCACTTTCACCATTCTAAAGCTATGCCCCTTTACAAATGGAAACATTGCTAAAATATTAGTTTGCCTCAACCAAATGTTATGAAACATATGAACAATGCTAATTACCACAATACACAGATCAAGTTTGAATTTTGTTGGCGTCACTTTTACCGTTCTAGAGTTATGCCCCTTTACAAATCTCAAAATTGCTGAAATATTTGTTTCTGTTCACTAACTTTAGTTTGCCTCAACAAAATGTTATGAAACATATGCGCAATGCTAATTACCACAAAACACAGATAAAGATTGAATTTTGGTGGTGTCACTTCTACCGTTCTAGAGTTATGCCCCTTTACAAATCTCAAAATTGCTGAAATATTTGTTTCTGTTCACTAACTTTAGTTTGCCTCAACAAAATGTTATGAAACATATGCGCAATGCTAATTACCACAAAACACAGATAAAGATTGAATTTTGGTGGCATCACTTTTACCGTTCTAGAGTTATGCCATTTACAAATGAAAGACTTGCTGATTTTTTTGTTTTCGTTCTCTAACTTGAGTTTGCCTCAACTAAATGTTATGAAACTTATCCACAATGTTTATTACCACAAAACACCGATCAAATTTGAATTTTAGTGGTGTCACTTTCACCATTCTAAAGCTATGCCCCTTTACAAATGGAAACATTGCTAAAATATTAGGTTTTGTTCTCTAACTTTAGTTTGCCTCAACCAAATGTTATGAAACATATGAACAATGCTAATTACCACAATACACAGATCAAGTTTGAATTTTGTTGGCGTCACTTTTACCGTTCTAGAGTTATGCCCCTTTACAAATCTCAAAATTGCTGAAATATTTGTTTCTGTTCACTAACTTTAGTTTGCCTCAACAAAATGTTATGAAACATATGCGCAATGCTAATTACCACAAAACACAGATAAAGATTGAATTTTGGTGGTGTCACTTCTACCGTTCTAGAGTTATGCCCCTTTACAAATCTCAAAATTGCTGAAATATTTGTTTCTGTTCACTAACTTTAGTTTGCCTCAACAAAATGTTATGAAACATATGCGCAATGCTAATTACCACAAAACACAGATAAAGATTGAATTTTGGTGGCATCACTTTTACCGTTCTAGAGTTATGCCATTTACAAATGAAAGACTTGCTGATTTTTTTGTTTTCGTTCTCTAACTTGAGTTTGCCTCAACTAAATGTTATGAAACTTATCCACAATGTTTATTACCACAAAACACCGATCAAATTTGAATTTTAGTGGTGTCACTTTCACCATTCTAAAGCTATGCCCCTTTACAAATGGAAACATTGCTAAAATATTAGGTTTTGTTCTCTAACTTTAGTTTGCCTCAACCAAATGTTATGAAACATATGAACAATGCTAATTACCACAATACACAGATCAAGTTTGAATTTTGTTGGCGTCACTTTTACCGTTCTAGAGTTATGCCCCTTTACAAATCTCAAAATTGCTGAAATATTTGTTTCTGTTCACTAACTTTAGTTTGCCTCAACAAAATGTTATGAAACATATGCGCAATGCTAATTACCACAAAACACAGATAAAGATTGAATTTTGGTGGTGTCACTTCTACTGTTCTAGAGTTATGCCCCTTTAGAAATGGAAAAATTGCTGAATTTTTCGTTTCTGTTCTCTAATTTAAGTTTACGTCAACTAAATGTTATGAAACTTATAAACAATGCTTATTACCCATGGACACATTCCCCATTTATTTTTAATAAATTTTCCATTTTTTTCCATTGCGGTTATTCTGGTCATGAGGGCCATGCATTTTACCCGACATGCCTGCAGGTGACAACTTGAGACGTGGAACTATAAATGTAAAATTGTTGAAGCGCAAGTACAAATGTTAAGTATAATCATCATGCTCCATTTTATCGTGCAAGTTACAATTTCTAATATCTGCATACATGCCATAAAATTATTTCATAATGCGGTATTTACATTTGTTTCAGATTTTATAACGGGGAATTATATAGTTACAGCAAAGTGTGAAGTTTGAATCACGACGAGAAGCAACAAAACTTTGGAGTACTAAGTACAAGCCATACTATTATCATTGAGGCTCGGCGCGGTCAAATAGAAGTAAAAAACACCAAAATAGCTCAAAAATCGTGGGTTAAAACAAAACCTAGATATGTCAAAGTATCGATCTAAATTCGTTGTTACGAAGAGCACAGAAACTGATGTTGAAATCTCGGCCGAAGTATATCAACGCGAGAACAGGATATCAATGGTTATCAACAGTGCGAAAAATCAAGTACTAAAGCTCAGACAATCAGTTAGTGACTTAAAAGATCAAAATGTCAACGTCGTCAAGCAAGTAAGGGATTTTCGAAGAAAATTAGATGAACAATTGAATTATTTACAAGAACAGCTTTTAAATGAAATAAGATATGAATACAACGTATGCACGAATGAAATGATAGAGCATGAAAAAGATTTACAAACTCAAACAGATCGAATTCAGAGACTAGCTAAAGACCAGTCCAAATTGAAACCCGAAACTGCATCAGAACTGATAACTGCAACAGAAACACTTGAAAAGACAATTTCTTCACAAAATGAAAAAGTAACAATCATGCAGAAAAATAGTGTACGAGTTGAATATAACCCAACCCTGAAATCAATATTAGAAAACGCACAAGACTTCGGTAGGTTTATGGTTACCAAAGATTCAATATTGAATAACAACATTGTACGAAATCATTCGTTCAAGACGAAAGCTGATTTCGACGCTATTAAGCTGGTATTTGAAAAGAAAATAGAAATTCCTATTCCAAATAAAGGATACAGTTATATAATGGATTGTGTACTTCTAAAAAACAAAGATATGGTGTTTGCAGACAGGATAAATAAACGTTTGGTTATACATAAAGGTACAGGTGCATTTAGTCATGAAATAAGACTCCCAAAACCGCCACATTACATCACAGCAGTTGACAATGAAAAGTTGGCAATTTCATATGGGAAACCGTTTAGCAATATTGACGTTATAAATACAGTTACCTGTGAGACAGAGTCTACTATAACAGGATGTGTTACGGATTGGAGTATGGGGATATCCTACAGTAACGGGAAATTATATGTAGTTGACGATGGTTCTGCTATTCAAGAAATAACGCTTGATGGAAAAGTGACAAACAGCATTCCACTTAACGGTAATGTTACATCAAATCGCAAAGAAGACGTCGCGAAAAAAGGCAACACACCATGCGTTCATCATTTAACCGCCCACCAAAATAAGATATACTACGCGTCCACGTTAAATGACACCCTGTATTGTTATGACAATACCGGAAAAGAGCTGTGGTCATTCAGTGATAGCGAGATTATAGGTGAATGCACCTCGCCTCCGCTAGCAGTAGATGGTAATGGTAATGTGATTTTAGTGAATCACGAGAGTGATTATAAGATAATGATAATATCTGCCGATGGCAAGAAAATCAAATATTTGCCGCTGGGAAAAGATGATTTTATGCCAAATGGGATATCGTTTGATGAAAACAAACAAATGCTTTTGATTTGTGACCATCGTTCACATGCCATACTTTTCAATGTAAGACAAAATACTTTTGAGAAAAAAGTATCATAATACTCTATATGAATTTCGAATCACTTAGAATGGAATACTTCAACAAGTGAGAGAAATTTTGGTCAACCAAAAACTAAAAATCTTCAACTGCAAACGTACAGCTTCTAAAAAGGGATAATGTAACATCGTAGGTAAAGGAAGGAAAGACAAACATCATCGGAAATAGAAGGAAATAAAAACATCATCGGAAATAGAAAAATTTAATAGACGAAAAATTCTAAAAGAAATAATGGTTTAGCAACACGAATCGTGCAATATGTTTTTAAGAATGATGCATTATAATAAACAAAAAAAATAGCAATGGACAGTTCACAACATACCATACCAATCGGCCTAAAAGTCATTTTTGTTAGTATGATCGATACACTATAGGGCTTGTTTCAACGTTTATAAAGCAATGCAAATTAAACTTATACCTGTTGACAATGACATGCTCGGATATATACTGTGTTTTGCGCCCTGTGATGAATATTTTTTATGCAATCAGATGTGGTGTTTTCCTCCCAAGTGGTGGAGATAATTAGTTTATATTTTTTTTCAAAATCATGTTAATGTAGCGTCATTGGTATAGAGATTTAGGACAAATGTAGGTCATCATAAAAGAATAAACATTACGATAACTACTAAGATCAGGTAAATAAACAAAGATAAAGAGTTCGACAAAATTCTGCGGCTTTATTATAGGTCAATTACATTGTCGGTTAACTTATTCATATTTTAAAGGTCAATAGCATTGCTGGGTCTTTCATATTTTACAGAACAATAACATTGGCGGGTCTTCATATTTTACAGGATACTGCAATCCATATATAATTTTTTTTTAATTTAAATTATATAATTATAATATTTTTCATATAAGGCATTTGAAAATTTGAAGGTTACAAAATACAAAATAGCAAACTGTGTCGTTTGATTATGGCTGTTAGTAAGAGTTGTTTTTGAGTATCTTTTGGCATAATAAACAAAATCAGCGAGAAAACTGTCATATTTTTCATAATTAACTTTTCGAATATTACTGATGTGATGAAAATAAAGTAATATCAAACAGGAGACCTTGTAAGTGATCTTTAAAATATTTTAGAATATATAACGTACTTTACAACTCAAGTCGATATTTGTATTAGATACACCTTTGGGGCGTTAGCCCGAATGAGTGTATCTAATTTACACAATAAGGCAACCAATGAGAACTGATATTTGTTACGTAATAATGTCAAGATGGCGTGAATATCTTATGAAACAATAACCAGTTATCAACATGATTGACTGTGCATGGTCGACATCTAGTGACAATTTATAACCAGTTATCAACATGATTGACTGTGCATGGTCGACATCTAGTGACAACTATAACCAGTTATCAACATGATTGACTGTGCATGGTCGACATCTAGTGACAATTATAACCAGTTATCAACATGATTGACTGTGCATGGTCGACATCTAGTGACAATTATACATATTCAGAACAAGAACAAATCAAACAATATAAATTCAGCAAGAAAAAATTTGAAGAGTATTTTTCTGGATTTACCTTCATCTAGATCTCTCAAACTCGAAAAATACGTAGGGTCAATTTGTATTTGTTTCTCTCACACAATTAAATCTGAAAATTGTTTAAACCTACTGATAATCGAATATTATAGACTCCACATAATAAACTTACACAAATTATCAATTTTACAAATTTTGAATAAAATGAAAATGTAATTTAGCACATGTTGCTTTTGAAGACAATTTTGCAAACTTTAATTTTTTTGGCAAAATTGAGCACTATAATGCTGGATCATTTTTATGTTAAAAACGAGATTAATAAACGTAATGTCGTATAGGCATACATTGACATAGCAACTTTAACATAACATGTTTTTCCAGCATACATGAGACATACCCGCTGACAAATTAAGTATAGTGATTCCCATTATAACCCAAGGATAGTTATATAACTAGTTAGCGACATGATTGACTGTGCATGGCCGACATCCAGTGTCAATTATCTCATACATAATCAGAACAAGAACAAATCACAACAATATAAATTTAGCAAGAAATGTGTGTCAATTTGTTTGCCACTGTAAATAAGTTGTTTTTGGATCGTATCTAAATGCAGGGGTTTTATAAACAACAAAACCGTAAAATTGTTATATGATATCCCGTTTGTAATCAGAAATCTACAGATATAGTTAAATTTCTAAATCAAATCTTTGTATCTATGAACGAATTTGGTACAAGTTTGAAGTGATTTATGGTATAAACAACATCACTGACTTGATAATTTCTAGTTATACATGCATAGAAATCTTAAACGTCACTACAGACATTGTCATATCGAACGAGTTGGGAAATATACACACCGAAAGCGGAGTCAAAAGATACATTACCGTCAAAAAAGAGGCCGTTTGTTTTAAATTCATAACAACAACAAAACAGCAAAAACATTCGGAGATATTCAGAAGACATAGTTTGTAGTTGACATTCGTTTGTCATTTTGTTATACCGGATTATGAAAAAATGACACATGGATTTACCTACAGATTTAAAGTAAAATGTACTTTTTATACGACCGTAAAAATATTTTTGGGTTCGTATAATCCTATGATGTCGTCGTCGTCGACCGAAGATACATTTGGTTTCCGGACAATAACTTTAGTTTAAGTGAACGGATCTCTATAGAATTTTACAAGAAGGTTCAATACCACAAAAGGAAGCTTAAGGTTGGGATTGATTTTGGGGGTACCAACAGTTTAGGAATTGGGGGCCAAAAAGGGGCCAAAAATAAGCATTTGTGTAGTTTCCAGACAATAACTTGTGTGCATGTGTATGGATCTCTCTGACGTTGTACCACAATGTTTCATATCACCACAAAGGGAAGGCTGGGATTGAGTTTGGGGGTTATTGCCGCAAACATGCAAGAATTAGGGGCAAAAAAGGGGCCAAAAACAAGCATTTTTCTAGTTTCAAGACAATAACTTTTTTTTAAGTGTGTGGATCGCTCTAAAATTGTACTACAAGGTTCCATACTACAAAGGGAAGGCTTGGATTGAGTGTGGGGGTCATTGCTCCAAGGGGGGGGGGGGTTCAAAAAGTTTGGGGGGGTTCTAATTTTTTTAAGGGGTTCATATTTTTTTTTTCAAAATTTTTCAAATTTCAAATTTTTGAAAAGTTTCAAGAAGGAATCTTCCATTGCACAGTATTGAGCAATAGATTTTTAAGATCTTTGACCACATTTCTTTTGTGTCTGAAACCTATATTATGTCAAAAATTTGATCACAATCCAAATTCAAACAGTATCAAGCTTGAATATTGTGTCCAACTGTTCAGGGTTCGACCTCTGCGGTCGTATCAGGCTGTGCTCAGCGAAGCATTTTATTGAATATCATATTTGAATTGGAGTGTGATCCATGTTTAAAGTGAGCAATTGTGGTAATATGAGGGGAACAATACCTATTTATAACTGTTAACGACCATTTTGATAAAATCAAAATCTACAGAATTCTTACAAATATAATTAAAACAACAACAAAAAAAAAACACTTGTCAATGACAGTCACCCTCTTTCTCATCTGTAGTAGGATAAACGAAAACACTTTACAATTCGTACAAAAATACAACAAAACATGCTCTTAGTAATTAAACAAAAGTTCCTCTTCTAAACATAAAAAAACCGGGTGGGATCATTGTCCAACCTATTTGTTATATAAATGAAATCAGAGAAAGATTGGTTACAGTAGCCTAGTCGAATACATACATTAATTTTGTTTAGAAAAACACAATCCCAATGGATTTGAGAAACGTACTAAATAATAAAATGTTTATGTTCTGTTTCTGAAGGAAGGGACCATACACATGAATTTAACTGTAGTACAGTGGTGGTTGTCGTTGGTCCATGTTCTGTTTCTGAAGGAAGGGACCATACAAATAAATTTAACTGTAGTACAGTGGTGGTTGTCGTTGGTCCATGTTCTGTTTCTGGAGGACCATACAAATGAATTTAACTGTAGTACAGTGGTGGTTGTCGTTGGTCCATGTTCTGTTTCTGAAGGAAGGGACTATACAAATAAATTTAACTGTAGTACAGTGGTGGTTGTCGTTGGTCAATGTCTGTTTCTGGATGATCATACAAATAAATTTAACTTTAAAACAGTGGTGGTTGTCGTTGGTCCATGTCTGTTTCTTGAGGATCAAACAAATAAATTTAACTGTAGTACAGTGGTGGTTGTCGTTGGTCCATGTTCTGTTTCTGGAGGAAAGAACCATACAAATGAATTTAACTGTAGTACAGTGATGATTGTCGTTGGTCCATGTTCTGTTTCTGGAGGAAAGGACCATAAAAATGTATGTAACTGTAGTAGAGTGGTGGTTGTCGTTGGTCCATGTTCTGTTTCTGGAGGAAGGGACGATACAAATGAATTTTACTGTAGTACAGTGGTGGTTGTCGTTGGTCCATGTTCTGTTTTTGGAGGAAGTGACCATAAAAATGAATTGAACTGTAGTACAGTGGTGGTTGTCGTTGGTCCATGTTCTGTTTCTGGGGGAAGGGACCATACAAATGAATTTAACTGTAGCACAGTGGTGGTTGTCGTTGGTCCATGTTCTGTTTCTGGAGGAAGGGACCATACAAATGAATTTAACTGTAGTACAGTAGTAGTTGTCATTGGTCCATGTTCTGTTTCTGGAGGACTATACAAATGAAGATAACTGTAGTACAGTGGTGGTTGTCGTTGGTCCATGTTCTGTTTCTAGAGGATCATACAAATAAATTTAACTGTAGTACAGTGGTGGTTGTCGTTGGTCCATGTTCTGTTTCTGGAGGACCATACAAATGAATTTAACTGTAGTACAGTGGTGGTTGTCGTTGGTCCAAGTCTGTTTCTGGAGGAAGGGACTATACAAATGAATTTAACTGTGGAACAATGGTGGTTGTCGTTGGTCCATGTTCTGTTTCTGGAGGACCATACAAATGAATTTAACTGTAGTACAGTGGTGGTTGTCGTTGGTCCATGTTCTGTTTCTAGAGGATCATACAAATGAACTTAACTGTAGTACAGTGGTGGTTGTCGTTGGTCCATGTTCTGTTTCTGGAGGACCATACAAATGAATTTAACTGTAGTACAGTGGTGGTTGTCGTTGGTCCATATTCTGTTTCTGGAGGAAGAGACCATACAATTGAATTTAACTGTAGTACAGTTGTGGTTGTAATTGGTCCATGTCTGTATCTGAAGGAAGGGACTATACAAATGAATTTAACTGTAGTACAGTTGTGGTTGTCATTGGTCCATGTCTGTTTCTGAAGGAAGGGACTATACAAAAAAATTTAACTGTAGTACAGTGGTGGTTGTCGTTGGTCCATGTCTGTTTCTGGAGGATCATACAAATAAATTTAACTGTAGTACAGTGGTGGTTGTCGTTGGTCAATGTTCTGTTTCTGGAGGGATGGATCATACAAATAAATTTAACTGTAGTACAGTGGTGGTTGTCGTTGGTCCATGTTCTGTTTCTGGAGGAAGGATCCATACAAACGAATATAATTGTAGTACAGTGATGGTTGTCGTTGGTCCATGTTCTGTTTCTGGAGGACTATACAAATGAAGTTAACTGTAGTACAGTGGTGATTGTCATTGGTCCATGTTCTGTTTCTGAAGAAGGGACTATACAAATAAACTTAACTGTAGTACAGCGCTGGTTGTCGTTGGTCCATGTTCTGTTTCTGGAGGACCATACACATGAATTTAACTGTAGTACAATGGTGGTTGTCGTTGGTCCATGTTCTGTTTCGGGAGGACAATACAAATGAATTTAACTGTAGTACAGTGGTGGTTGTCGTTGGTCCATGTTCTGTTTCTGAAGGAAGGGACTATACAAATAAATTTAACTGTAGTACAGTGGTGGTTGTCGTTGGTCCATGTCTGTTTCTTGAGGATCATACATATAATTTTAACTTAAGTACAGTGGTGGTTGTCGTTAATCCATGTCTGTTTCTGGAGTATCATACAAATAAATTTAACTGTAGAACAGTGGTGGTTGTCGTTGGTCCATGTTCTGTTTCTGCAGGAAGGGACGATACAAATGAATTTTATTGTAGTACAGTGGTGGTTGTCGTTGGTCCATGTTCTGTTTCTGGAGGAAGGGACTATACAAATGAATTTAACTGTAGTACAGTGGTGGTTGTCGTTGGTCCATGTTCTGTTTCTGGAGGAAGGGACCATACAAATGAAGTTAACTGTAGTACAGTGGTGGTGGTCGTTGGTCCATGTTCGGTTTCTGGAGGAAGGGGTCATACAAATGAATTTAACTGTAGTACAGTGGTGGTTGTCGTTGGTCCATGTTCTGTTTCTAGGGGAAGGGACCATACAAATGAATTTAACTGTAGTACAGTGGTGGTTGTCGTTGGTCCATGTTCTGTTTCTGGAGGAAGGGACCATACAAATCAATTTAACTGTAGTACAGTGGTGGTTGTCATTGGTCCATGTTCTGTTTCTGGAGGACTATACAAATGAAGTTAACTGTATTACAGTGGTGATTGTCGTTGGTCCATGTTCTGTTTCTGGAGGATCATACAAATAAATTTAACTGTAGTACAGTGGTGGTTGTCGTTGGTCCATGTTCTGTTTCTGGAGGACCATACAAATGAATTTAACTGTAGTACAGTGGTGGTTGTCGTTGGTCCATGTCTGTTTCTGGAGGAAGGGACTATACAAATGAATCTAACTGTAGTACAGTGGTGGTTGTCGTTGGTCCATGTTCTGTTTCTGGAGGACCATACAAATGAATTTGACTGTAGTACAGGGTGGTTGTCGTTGGTCCATGTTCTGTTTCTGGAGGAAGGGACCATACAAATGAATTTAACTGTAGAAAGTGATGGTTGTCGTTGGTCCATGTTCTGTTTCTGGAAGAAGGGACCATACAAATCAAAATTAACTTTAGTACAGCAGTGGTTGTCGTTGGTCCATGTTCTGTTTCTGGAGGACCATACAAATGAATTTAACTGTAGTACAGTGCTGGTTGTCGTTGGTCCATGTCTGTTTCTGGAGGCAGGGACTATACAAATGAATTTAACTGTAGTACAGTGGTGGTTGTCGTTGGTCCATGTTCTGTTTCTGGAGGACCATACAAATGAATTTAACTGTAGTACAGGGGTGGTTGTCGTTGGTCCATGTTCTGTTTCTGGAGGAAGGGACCATACAAATGAATTTAACTGTAGAACAGTGATGATTGTCGTTGGTCCATGTTCTGTTTCTGGAAGAAGGGACCATACAAATCAAAATTAACTTTAGTACAGCAGTGGTTGTTGTTGGTCCATGTTTTGTTTCTGGAGGAAGGGACTATACAAATAAATTTAACTGTAGTACAATGGTGGTTGTTGTTGGTCCATGTTCTGTTTCTGGAGGACTATACAAATGAAGTTAACTGTAGTACAATGGTGGTTGTCATTGGTCAATGTTCTGTTTCTGGGGGAAGGGACCATACAAATGAATTTAACTGTAGTACAGTGGTGGTTGTTGTTGGTCCATGTTCTGTTTCTGGAGGAAGGGACCATACAAATAAATTTAACTGTAGTACAGTGGTGGTTGTCGTTGGTCCATGTTCTGTTTCTGAAGGAAGGGACCATACAAATAAATTTAACTGTAGTACAATGGTGGTTGTCGTTGGTCCATGTTCTGTTTCTGGAGGACCATACAAATATATTTAACTTTAGTACAGTGGTGGTTGTCATTGGTCCATGTTCTGTTTCTGCAGGAAAAGACCATACAAATGTATGTAACTGTAGTACAGTGGTGGTTGTCGTTAGTCCATGTTCTGTTCCTGCAGGAAGGGACAATAGAGATGAATTTTATTGTAGTACAGTGGTGGTTGTTGTTGGTCCATGTTCTGTTTCTGGAGGAAGGGACTATACAAATGAATTTAACTGTAGTACAGTGGTGGTTCCCGTTGGTCCATGTTCTGTTTCTGGAGGAAGGGACCATACAAATGAAGTTAACTGTAGTACAGTGGTGGTTGTCGTTGGTCCATGTTCGGTTTCTGGAGGAAGGGGTCATACAAATGAATTTAACTGTAGTACAGTGGTGGTTGTCGTTGGTCCATGTTCTGTTTCTAGGGGAAGGAACCATACAAATGAATTTAACTGTAGTACAGTGGTGGTTGTCGTTGGTCAATGTTCTGTTTCTGGAGGAAGGGACCATACAAATGAATTTAACTGTAGTACAGTGGTGGTTGTCATTGGTCAATGTTCTGTTTCTGGAGGACTATACAAATGAAGTTAACTGTATTACAGTGGTGGTTGTCGTTGGTCCATGTTCTGGTTCTGGAGGATCATACAAATAAATTTAACTGTAGTACAGTGGTGGTTGTCGTTGGTCCATGTTCTGTTTCTGGAGGACCATACAAATGAATTTAACTGTAGAAAGTGATGGTTGTCGTTGGTCCATGTTCTGTTTCTAGAAGAAGGGACCATACAAATCAAAATTAACTTTAGTACAGCAGTGGTTGTCGTTGGTCCATGTTCTGTTTCTGGAGGACCATACAAATGAATTTAACTTTAGTACAGTGCTGGTTGTCGTTGGTCCATATCTGTTTCTGGAGGCAGGGACTATACAAATGAATTTACCTGTAGTACAGTGGTGGTTGTCATTGGTCCATGTTCTGTTTCTGGAGGACCATACAAATGAATTTAACTGTAGTACAGTCGTGGTTGTCGTTGGTCCATGTCTGTTTCTTAAGGAAGGGACTATACAAATGAATTTAACTGTAGTACAGAGGTGGTTGTCGTTGGTCAATGTTCTGTTTCTGGAGGATCATACAAATGAATTTAACTGTAGTACAGTGGTGGTTGTCGTTCGTCCATGTTCTGTTTCTGGAGGAAGGGACCATACAAATAAATTAACTAGTAACTGTAGTACAGTGGTGGTTGTCATTGGTCCATGTTCTGTTTCTGGAGGAAGGGACCATACAAATGAATTTAACTGTAGTACAGTGGTGGTTGTCGTTGTTCCATGTTCTGTTTCTGGAGGAAGGGACCATACAAATGAATTTAACTGTAGTACAGTTGTTGTTGTCGATGGTCCATGTCTGTTTCTGGAGGAAGGGACCATACAAATGAATTTAACTGTAGTACAATGGTGGTTGTCATTTGTTCATGTTCTGTTTCTTGGGGAAGGGACCATACAAATGAATTTAACTGTAGTACAGTGATGGTTGTCGTTGGTCCATGTTCTGTTTCTGGAGGAAGGGACCATACAAATGAATTTAACTGTAGTACAGTGGTGGTTGTCGTTGTTCCATGTTCTGTTTCTGGAGGAAGGGACCATACAAATGAATTAAACTGTAGTACAGTGGTGGTTGTCGTTGATCCATGTTCTGATTTTTGGAGGAAGAGACCATACAAATGAAGTTAACTGTAGTACAGTGGGGGTTGTCGTTGGTGCATGTTCTTTTTCTGGAGGACCATACAAATGAATTTAACTGTAGTACAGTGGTGGTTGTCATTGGTCCATGTTCTGTTTCTGGAGGACCATACAAATAAATTTAACTGTAGTACAGTGGTGGTTGTCATTGGTCCATGTTCTGTTTCTGGAGGAAGGGACTATACAAATGAATTTACCTGTAGTACAGTGGTGGGTGTCATTGGTCCATGTTCTGTTTCTGGAGGAAAGGACCATACAAATGAATTCAACTGTAGTACAGTGGTGGTTGTCATTGGTCCATGTTCTGTTTCTGGAGGACTATACAAATGAAATTAACTGCAGTACAGTGGTGGTTGTCGTTGGTCCATGTTCTGTTTCTGGAGGAAAGGACCATACAAATAAATTTAACTGTAGTACAGTGGTGGTTGTCGTTGTTCCATGTTCTGTTTCTGGAGGAAGGGACCATACAAATGAATTTAACTGTAGTACAGTGGTGGTTGTCGTTGTTCCATGTTCTGTTTCTGGAGGAAGGGACCATACAAATGAATTTAACTGTAGTACCGTGGTGGTTGTCGATGGTCCATGTCTGTTTCTGGAGGAAGGGACCATACTAAAGAATTAAACTGTAGTACAGTGGTGGTTGTCGTTGATCCATGTTCTGTTTCTGGAGGAAGGGACCATACAAATGAAGTTAACTGTACTACAGTGGTGGTTGTCGTTGGTCCATGTTCTGTTTCTGGAGGACTATACAAATGAAGTTAACTGTAGTAAAGTGGTGGTTGTCATCGGGCCATGTTCTGTTTCTGGGGGAAGGGACCATACAAATGAATTTAACTGTAGTACAGTGGTGGTTGTCGTTGATCCATGTTCTGTTTCTGGAGGACTATACAAATGAAGTTAACTGTAGTACAGTGATGGTTGTCGTTGGTCCATGTTCTGTTTCTGGGGGAAGGGACCATACAAATGAATTTAACTGTAGTACAGTGGTGGTTGTCGTTGGTCCATGTTCTGTTTCTGGAGGATCATACAAATAAATTTAACTGTAGTACAGTGGTGGTTGTCGTTGGTCCATGTTCTGTTTCTGGAGGACCTTACAAATGAATTTAACTGTAGTACAGTTGTGGTTGTCGTTGGTCCATGTCTGTTTCTGGAGGAAGGGACTATACAAATGAATTTAACTGTAGTACAGTGGTGGTTGTCGTTGGTCCATGTTCTGTTTCTTGATAACCATTCAAAAGAATTTAACTGTAGTACAGTGCTGGTTGTCGTTGGTCCATGTTCTGTTTCTGGAGGAAGGGACCATACAAATGAATTTACTAGTAACTGTAGTACAGTGATGGTTGTCGTTGGTCCATGTTCTGTTTCTGGAGGAAGGGACCATACAAATGAATTTAACTGTAGTACAGTGGTGATTGTCTTTGGTCCATGTTCTGTTTCTGGAGAAAGGGACTATGCAAATAAATTTAACTGTAGTACAGTGGTGGTTGTCGGCATTAAATGTATAATGTAATTTAATAAAATCAAGACCTCTGTATTTTATTTAAAGAAAATACCTGCATAGATCTTCAGGTTTATGCATACGATGGAATATCATATGGTGACAAAAACCAGTAATAATACGATTACATAAACATTATTTGTCTACCATTCAATCCATTGTTTGTTTATTTCTTCATTCATATAAATTCAGATTTCCGTAGTACAGTTGCCATCTCGCCAAAATATTTTTTTACCTAACTAACGTAAAATGGTTACAACCTTCATCTCTTACCTGGTCTTCATTCTAGTGGTCCTGGACTTGATTTTAGTTAGGATAAGGAGGATGCGTGCATTATAGAAATCTTCTATCAGTAAATGGTCATATCTGTCTTTGTATCCAGTCTTTAGATTTGATAGATATTTTTCATGGAATAAGTTTCATTTACTCATGTCACATTCATTTTTTCAATGATTGATGAGCTACCACCTTAACAATACATAGGGACCTCGGTGGTCGAGTGGTCTAAGTAGTTTATCTACCAGGTCAGTAGCATACTGTATCACTAGCCTGCCAGTACTGAGTTTGTCAGTTCGAACCCCGCACGTGGCAGGTACTTTCTACTTCAACCATAATTGACCAGGCTTGTCAGTTTTCCTGTCCAAGTTCGATGGTTCTCTCCGGTCACTCCGGCTTCCTCCGCCAATGAAAACTGACCACAACTATATAGAAAAACAGTGCTGAAAGTATTGTTAAACACCAACAATCAATCAATCAATATTAACAATACGAAGAAATAAAATCCAAAACAATTAGTTCTCTGTTAATTTTAGGTTGCTTTGAATATTGAACGTTCAAAAGTTCGAAAATATAAAACAAGTAAAATCTTTTTTGTCTCATTTCTATTGCTTTCCATTCATATGTCATACGCTTCACTATTACAGAAGAAAGCTTGATTTTGAGTTGAATGACAATTATAACAATTGCATGAGACAAGTAAAAAGTGTTATAATGCCTTTATTTTTCATTATCCAATATATGTGGTACATATGAAATTTCGTCCATAGATTTCAAACTTTTACTAACTTTTATTTGTTTCAATAAAACGTTTGAATTGTTTATACACTTACATTATATCTGGAGCAAAATTTCAAACGAGGTAGTTTCAGTAATGCTTATTGCCCAATGTGCATTGCCCTTGTAAAGACATTGTCTAGAATTACATTCCAGGTTTGATACTATCGTTGGATATAGTTTCCATGAGCTAGTGTCCATTTAAGAGACTTATTTAATAAGATTGAAATTGTCATGGCAGAAGGCTTTTTAGGAATTTTGTAAGGATTTGTTGGCTATACCATTTCATCTGTTTGTACTAGAATTTAAACATACCGTCGAACAATATTTCGTATTATCATTAGTGTTCTTTTTTTTCAGAACACATCCATGGAAAAGTTAACTTCAGCGGTTTGGTTTATAATTGCGTTTTGTTTGCAATTCCACTCTGTGCTTAAGGTCAAGAAATATGGACTAGGTTAGTAACAGCAGTAAAAATTATAGAAAAGTCTACCTTAACTTGGAAGTTAAACGTATGTATCAGTCATGATGTGGTAGTTGCTGTTACACTGATTTCATTTTGCTGAAACAGTAATTCCAAGACATTTATGTGTTCTCAAGTAATAGATACATAACATAGCAATTATAACAGGTGGTGCATCCAAAGCGCTTCTATAGATTCACCTTCATCAGGAACGCTCAAAAGCAAATAATAGAAAATCCGGGATGTATAAATCCTAGACCTACATTGTACATAAACAAAAGGGAATAAAACAAATAGCAAAAACCGACAACGATAAACTGTGCCTGAGAAAGTTGAAACCTTAGTTTTGTAATTCATCATAAATTCATTCACGGAAAATTTTAGAAATGTATGTTATAAATCATTTTGTTGGCGAAGCACTGACTTCCAAGGGAAAGATACTCTAGGTGTCTAACAGTCCATTATCAGTGTTATCGACACAAAGCTATTAAAATAAAGAAACCTGGGACCGAAGCGCTATTCTGGATTGATCTTTATCGGGAACGCTCAAAGCAAAATACTTGAAAACAAATCATGTATAATTACCAAAATACGTGGAGAGCTATATGACAATGTTTTATTTTTAATAAAAACCTGTAATTCAGCGGTTGTTATTGGTTGCTGTCTGTCATATTTGTTATTTGTTGTTTACAATTCAAACGAGAAAACCAACGATCTGATGTTTGGTTATTAATCAGATCGTTGGTTTTCTCGTTTGAATTGTTCTTACATTTTTTCATGTCGATGCCTTGTTTAGCAGACTTCATGGAATCGTTTTGTCTCTGGTGGATAGTTTTGTAATTGCCAATCATACAACATCTATGTTTTTTTTATATGGAGCACTATAGTTTTTGCAAGTGTTCCGAAAAATAATCTTTTTTGCCTGTGAATAGATAAACACAAAGTAAAATCATTTTGTGAATATCTTTTTGAGCGACTGTTATGGTCTTTTATTTCTAAACATGTGTATGTATATGATTTTCATATACTATAGTATTTTTTTTTCCATTTTTAGCATCCAATCGGTAACACGACTTTTGAGCAAGAACTCTTTATCCATCCGGTGCTCCCGAATTCATTCCAAGTATTGGCGGGGTTCGTGCTGCTAAATAAAAAAGGTTTTTGGTACGGTTTTTTGTGAACAGTTTTTTATTTTAAGTCGTGTTTTTATTGAAGGTATAACTTCAACGCCCCTTGGTATATTATCCCTCTGTTTACTAAACTTTTAGTCATTTTGTTTCATTATAACATATGAATCGGGTACATTGAAAATCAAAACAAGGTTGGGTTACTTATAGAATATTGAAGATTTATCGGATAGACAGTAGGGAGTACTTTAGATTTAATGGGTAATTTAGTCCCTATCGTACCTTCTCCTAACAGAGTACACTTATAGCCAGGACTATTTATTACTGTCGATTCCTAACTCAATAATATATATAAAAAGCGTAACAGATGACCCCAAAAATATCTACTTTTATTCTTTTAAATTTTTACAGAGGAAAATAGAATAATTATAATCGGAGCTGGTGTTGCTGGAATAGCTGCTGCAACAACCCTACATGAAATGGGACACAGTAATATCCTTATTTTAGAAGGGTCGAGTCGTGTTGGTGGTCGCTTGAAAGAGGTTGAATTAGGTGAATTTACTGTTGAGACTGGAGCTCAATGGATTCATGGTCTTGATAAAAATCCCGTTTTGGAGTTGATCAGACAGCATAATGTATCTTACCGAAGCACGGATTACGAAGACTTCCTGATATACGATGAAAATGCAACAGCGATAACCGACAAAAGTCAAAGTGTATATGAAACATTTGAGACAGCACAAACAAATCTTGAGAAAATTCGGGCTTCGATGTTATCTCACCAAACACCTGATACAACTCTTAGATAAGTCTTAAAAACTTCCGGTTGGATTCCAAAGTCGCCGTTGGATGATGCTATTGAATATTATGACATCGATTTTGAATACACTTACTCACCAGATGCTACATCAGCCAAATACGGCACTGACAAGCCAAATTATAAAGCTTCAAATAGCACCCCTGGTGTAGACGGGATGGTTTCTGATCTTCGTGGATATTCATATCCGTTTCGTAAACTTTTATCAAAAACCTTACGTTCATCACGTGACAGTGCAATATTATTAAATAAAGTAGTGACACATGTCCATCAAAAAGGTAATCACGTGTCTGTCCGAACGAGCGATGATAAATCGTATGCTGCCAAGTACGTTATCAGCACAGTAAGTGTCGGTGTTATGCAGAGTAGATTGATTCAATTTGAACCTTCTTTACCAAAATGGAAAATGAATAGCTTTGATCAATTTCAAATGGGGGTATTTACACATATGTATTTTCAATTCCCATTTACATTTTGGGATGATAAAGAATACATTATATACGCAAGTTCAAGACGTGGCTACTACACAATATGGGTAAATATCGAAAAGCTTTTTCCCAATTCAAGGATTCTTCAAGCAACATTAGTTGGAGAAGAAGCAAGAAGAATCGATAGAATGTTAGATGAAGATATCAAGAATGAAGTTGTGTCCGTTCTGCGAAAAATATTCTTTAAGAAAAACATCGTTATACCTGAACCTGACGCTTATGTCATTCCAAGATGGCTCTCTGATCCTTTGTTTAAGGGGTCTTTTAGTAACTGGACACCTGGATTCACCGAAGACATGAAAATAACATTATGCAACCCTTTTGGGAAATTATTTTTTGCAGGAGAAGCTTGTTCAAATGTTTCCTTTGGTTTTGTTCAAGGAGCGTATAAAAGTGGTAAATTGACAGCCGAAACCCTACTTGACTGTATACATGAAAGGCGTAAAAAGTGTGGGAAACCCATGCCAGAGTATAAAAGGAGATCCTTAATGATTGAAGAGAAAAATAATAATAATTAAGAACGTTCACTTTTTCAGTATTGCACTTCATAAGAGTATCAAATGGTTTGTGGTATACTTTTAGCAAATTTTGATAATATATTAGTGAGACAAACAGTATGGAATTCCAAAAATCAAAACGCACAGTTTATTCTCAGTAAACCTGTTTATTATCTTGCAGACACAAACTACTTGGTATTGTTTAGATGCCTTTGAATGTAATGACTCATATTTGTGAGAAAATCAAAATGTAGAGCGGTTTTATATATATATACATATATATACTGACGGACTTTTAGAAACGCAACACACAACATCATATTACAATATCGATGAATTACTGTTGCCTTAATTTAGAGTATTACATATGGCCCAACGAGACAAAAGTGTATGAGAAATTGGTTGAACTCCGGCACATTTTGTTTGCATTTGTTTGTATGTCTAATTTTGCAGGAGCGCATCGTTGGTGGTAGTGTATGGCATGTTGTACTGTTCAATATTTTTTGTAATATATTTATCCTTTTATGTATCATTAGTACAGATCGAAACATGCTACTTTCTTTATAAAAATGCAGTAAAACCTTACTACAATGTGTACTTCTATGAGCAACACGGTTTTGGATGGGTTTATGTTGTTCAGTCTTTAGTTTTCTGAGTTGTGTTTTGTATACTGTTTTGTCTTTTAATTTTTTGCAAGGGTGTTGTCAGTTTGTTTTTGACTTTTAAGTTTGAATGTCCCTTAGGTGTCTTCTTACTGTTATTCTCTTGT